GATATAAGGTAATATCTGTTTACGGAAGAATAATTTTCTACTGATAATTTTCAGTTACGAGACATTCGTCTGCGTTGTGAAAAAGATAGGGTGCGAAACATTTTTAGGATTCGCTGGTATCGGACCTTATCACGTGAGTGAAAATCCAGAAAAAGCTATCGAAGAATCAGAGTTATACTTTCCGGATATTACTGCCGCGGATGAAACGCAATCGGACGACGAAGAAAAACCAGAAGAGGCGACGGAAAATCCGGAAGGGAACATGAATGAAACATCTTAAAATTATATACCTGAAAACATAATGTGTAATGAATTGTTTACTTTACGTTCGATTAAGGATTTAGTAATGTAATAACCGATTGTTAAGAAGCCAATATTTATTTTCCAATCACCTTAACTTATTATACAAAAGAAAATAGAAATAGACAAGATGTCTAAATGGTCGTAAAATCAATTTAAGGCGATGGTTTAATAAATTATGGCGAATAAACAAAATTTATTTCTTATAACCACAGCTACGCCTACGTCCCCTTGCTCGCTCAAACTTGCGACCTTTAGACCGAACCAGTGGTTTGGTGTGAGAATGTGGTACACCGGGTGCAGGTCCGAAGTGTTTCACTGCCTCACGGGCATTGCGGCGACCCTGCATCAAAACTGTCCGCCTTCCTGTAGGTGCACGTAATGCCAATTGATCAAAAGTGATCAATTCACCTCCAGCCTTTAATATACGTGCTCTAGCTTTCTCAGTAACGCGTAAAGCACAGACCTGTGATAAACGATTCATAAATTAAGCTGATGCATTTGCCTGTTGAAAACGTTTGTACAAAACAAGTAAAAGTACTTACTGTCAATTTAGGAATTTCAAAAATCCTAGCATCATCTGTTACTGTGCCAACGATTACCGCAATGGCATTTTCCCGACCAGGTTTCTTCATAAACCTGACCACACGTGCAAGAGATATTGGTGGCTGATGTATCTTGCTCATAAAAAGCCTCTTGAGAATGATCTCATTGAACTTGGAATTCGTACGTCTAGCGAGGAAGCGGTAAAGCTACAACAAGAACAACGATATACTCCCATATCCTTATATATTATTAAAAGATACAATAATTTGAAAAATATTAATACAACTTCTTGTAGTTACAATGCAAATTATGGTAAAACTGTAGTTTACAAAAACATTTCACAAAAATGAATCCGAAATAGTGTTGCAGTGTATCAATCAAAATAATCATCCTTCGTATAGTACGAACAGACGGAATAGGAAGATTGACTAAATATTCTCTAGCGAACGTTCAAATTGGATCAGTCTATCGATCAAAGGACTGACACAGAGTGCGGTCCGCAAACAAATATTGTAATGCCTGTTTTAAATCTCACGTGTTTGTCACATAGCAATAAACTAATTGCGACATGACTCTCTTTCAATGAAACATAAATTTCTACTCGCATTCATATTCCAAAGAAAACCGAGACTATGAATAAAATTTAAAACAAACATACAAAAGAACACTGCGTGAATATATACTCACTTTGACGAGAAGTCGCAAGTAGACATCTTGCGATTTGGGTTCTGTACGCCGAACCTTCCTATCGTGTTTGTGGTTTATATCGATACCCTGTAAAGGAAATAATATCTCTTAACTATCTTCGACGCTTCATGAAACTGACTAAACATTTGTTTCACGTTGATTAACACAGATGAATCGAATCTCTGTCGACTTTATAAATGCAATGGTGCAGCTGCTCCACCTTACCATTTTGATAAACCGGAAAGGAATGAAAGAAACGGATGTACGCGGAGCTGATCGAAGCTCCTGCAAACGGATGTCTCAGAGGGGGCGCTCTTTCAGTCAATATGGAAATATATAACGTGCAGTATATATAAACAAATTGATATAATTATATAGATCATGGTTTAGATAAAAACATCATTAAATATCAACAATGTCAGGCTAAGTAATAATTATTGTCATATACATAATAAGAGTCTTATCTGTTTAGAATAATATATTTATAAATGAGCTGCTTAAGAAAACATGCACGTTTGTTAAACTTTTAGCTACAGAATGCCCCGTTCATCAATATAATTACTACGAAATGATACATTTTCCCGTAATCGCAAGAAATATACATA